CAAGATAGAACTTTTTGGCCTTAATTCTAAGCGGTATGTGTGGAGAAAACCAGGCACTGCTCATCACCTGTCCAGTACAGTCCCAACAGTGAAGCATGGTGGTGGCAGCATCATGCTGTGGGGGTGTTTTTCAGCTGCAGGGACAGGACGACTGGTTGCAATCGAGGGAAAGATGAATGCGGCCAAGTACAGGGATATCCTGGACGAAAACCTTCTCCAGAGTGCTCAGGACCTCAGACTGGGCCGAAGGTTTACCTTCCAACAAGACAATGACCCTAAGCACACAGCTAAAATAACGAAGGAGTGGCTTCACAACAACCCTGTGACTGTTCTTGAATGGCCCAGCCAGAGCCCTGACTTAAACCCAATTGAGCATCTCTGGAGAGACCTAAAAATGGCTGTCCACCAACGTTTACCATCCAACCTGACAGAACTGGAGAGGATCTGCAAGGAGGAATGGCAGAGGATCCCCAAATCCAGGTGTGAAAAACTTGTTGCATCTTTCCCAAAAAGACTCATGGCTGTATTAGATCAAAAGGGTGCTTCTACTAAATACTGAGCAAAGGGTCCGAATACTTAGGACCATGTGATATTTCAGTTTTTCTTTTTTAATAAATCTGCAAAAATGTCAACGATTCTGTGTTTTTCTGTCAATATGGGGTGTTGTGTGTACATTAATGAGGAAAAAAAATTAACTTAAATGATTTTAGCAAATGGCTGCAATATAACAAAGAGTGAAAAATTGAAAGGGGTCTGAATACTTTCCGTACCCACTGTATATATATAATACCAAGTACTTATGCACTCTCTCTGTCTATATTAGGAAAACTGGTAAAAACAAATGAAAAATATTATAACCGTGAAATTCCTATTAGTAATTCCAAATTGTCATAGCCTATGTTTCTCTATTCAAACAACAGCGGTTGAGTAAGTGCATTTATTCAGCGATCACAATCGCAAACAATAGTCGAGATCTCATGACAGAACACAGACTGGTTGAGTGACACTTTCATTTAGATCGCTAAACTCCAGCTTGTTTGTCGGTGTTTTCAGATCATCGTCGGCGGCGCTTCCGCAATGAGGAGCGAGCGCGTGCGCATGGTTGCCAGATTGCTTAAAATAAGCAAAACACCGGGCAGAAACTGTATTCTTGTAACCGCGAAGCTCTGATTCGGGGATTTGAACTCTTGATATCTGGTAACTGCAATCATGAAAGCTTGCGTAGTAGAGGCGTTTACAGCAGTCCGCAATAACATGTTGTCTCCTTTTTTGGACGTTTGGCGCGTTCTTCTGGGAAAGTATGCTTGAATTTGAAATATTCGATATTCACAATATTTTCACATTTTACATCGTCGTCAAAATTATTGCGATATTATCACTAATATTCAATTTATCGCCCAGCCCTACTTATCGCTGCCAATCTAGTCTTTGCTTGTTTACAGTGCTTTGTTATATGGAGCTGTTAGTGATCAAATTCATTTGTCTAATGAAGTGCTTCAGTGAGAGATACAGGTTACACTGTAATTTAAAGGCAGCAGACTTTAATGGACAGTAAAACAAAGGCAGAATACAGTAACTCCAGGCTGGTGTACAATAACTTCATATTGACACATGGCTAAACAAAAGCAGAGTCCTGTAACTCAATTTGAGTGTTCCAAAACAAAGTCAAAGAGCCGTAACTGGTGTTATATGGTGTTCTGCCTTGGTTTCTCCTGGGCTTTTGGAAGTTACTGTTAAGACAACCCATTATTTTCTCAAAAACAAAAACAAAAAAAACAACAACAAAATTGTCTGAAGATACTTATCCATATAATAAAGGAGGTCTTGAATGTCCCAAAAATACCAATAACTCATTTTTGACCAAAAATGAAGTTACGGTCTTTTGCCTTTGCACGGCAGTATTCTTCTCATTATTTCCCTACAGCGGCTAATGAACCAGAAGACTCACACATTCACAGAAAACGGCTTACTTCCGCATTGAAAAATAAGGTGGATAGATGTGACAATGTGTTATGAACTTGTACACTCAATGCCAAGAAGGGCAGAACAGAATACTTAAAGTTGTGAAGGACATACCAAGTACTAGAGCATTTAGCCTACACATTTTTTGAATTTAATCAAGGGTGTTTTTTGCAACCCTTTATTTAAACAAAATAATTTACTATATGTTCAATATACTTAAATGTTGTCATCTTTCTATTATTTGTATTAGTAATCATTAAGGAAAAATAATAAAAGAAAAAAAATAAAGAAAAAATATAGAAAAAAAATTCATTTTTTCAGAAAGTATGTTCTCAGGGCTTCATACACACACAATTTTACCTCACTATAAAAAATGTTGAAGTAAACACTCCAGAGATCTGCATGAATCATTTAGGTGACAATTTGTGTAAAAAAAAAAAGTGAGCAGTCTACATTCCTAAAAACATTCCTGATTTTAAAATACTTACTTACCAACCACACTGTAGTCAACAAGGTCAAACCACACAACACCCACAGACAACCAAGCCCCCAGCAAAGCCAGCACCAACAGCCAGCTAAAGAAAGAGTTTCCCTCTGTCTTTTGTTCACTCTTAATGGCTGTATTTCCACCTGGAGAGTTGAGAAGACACATACACAGAATGAGATACTCAAAACTACTGTATCTGTCAGAAGCTATCATTCTAAGTTGAATACAAACTAAATGTACACTGAAAATCTGAATGCAGAATTAGAATTAGAAACCGATTAGGTTTTCAAAAATGCTAGTAATCAAAATCAAAAAGCAATTATTTTATGTAAAATAACAAAATAAAAAAAATAAAAACTGTAAAGTGTTAGTTCACCCAAGAATGAAAATTCTATTATCATATACTAACCCTCATGTCATTACAAATCCATAAGACCTTCATTCATCTTCAGAACATTAATAATTTCCCCCATCCCAATTTTTTTACATTTGGGACTATGGTTTGATAAATATCTTCTCAATAACAAAATAAACACACAACAATAATGAGTGGTAAGAAAACAGCAGTTAAGAAAGCATCTGATCATATCAATATGGATACGTTTGCTCAAGCTCTGAAATTTGACACTCCAGTCAACACACGTCACATTTATTTATATAGCACTTCATACAATTGTTCAGTATTAAACAAGAATAAACATTTTCATTGTCACTTTCAATTAGAATTACAATTTCTATTATAAAGCAGCTCTCCAGTGGGTTTACGTTTTTACTAGTGGACATGTGACCTTGACAAAACCGAACAGAAAGTGGCTCTGGCTGTGAAAATAGATATACATTTTGGCGGGTACTGACTGGTTGGCAAAAAAAGACACTATGGAAAAAATTATATACATTATTAATTACCATGCATGTTCATTTTACTCTATGCAATTTGCATTTCCATAAAATTCATTGTGATCACACAAGTAGAAACTGTTGAACACACAGTAATTTTATCCCTCATAGGCTCATTTTCATTGCTGCCAAAATGTAAATATTGCACTACCCTGATTTAAGTCTGTTGGATGCAGACAGGAAAGTTCAGCTAAGCTCAAGCGGTCCGTTTCAAAGCTCAAAATGCAGGTATGCTGTGCTATATCCAGCTGAACGCTATGTCATATTCATGTGTAAAATTAGCGTTCGCTGGTCTTTATTGGAGAAAACATGATTCTCAGTATACAAAGACCACTAGATTGATTGCACTGTTGGTTACAGTGTTTACTTGCTTTTTAATCATGTTTTTAATCATTTTATTTTTGAAAAATGCCAAAATAGGATTACAGAAGTTGGTATCAAAATTAAAACTATTAACTTGTACTGTAAAATTATTTTACAGATGTTTTTAATCAAGTTCAAATTATTTATCAAATTGGCTTTTCTAATTATTTGAATAAAATATTATGGTTGTGTTATTTATTAAATAACGAAAATAAATATAAAAACAAAAATAAAATTAAACTGACTGTAAAAATAAAAGAGTGCCATTAAAAAAACTATATTGGTCCACATTTAGTTCTACAGGTTTGGAACAACATGAGGGTGAGTAAATGACATGTTTTTAATTTTTGAGTGAACTAACCCTTTAATATCAACTTGTTACCCCTACTGGCACTATGGAGCTTTCAGTTTTAAAAATTGGTAGTACTAGATCTTCTGGCATTGTGCCCTTCTTATTCAATGAAAGTACCTGTAACATACTGAAATGAGGTCAAATGTTGAATGTAAAAAGCCACAGGGAATGGTTCACTCACAGAGGCGAATAACAAAGGGTTAAAAAATAACAGGATCATATAACAGATTGTATTACACTTGACTGGCAAGGTCGTCTGTATGTTACATGCACATACAGACATGTGATCATACTCTAACGGCTCTACTTTTCAGCCCAAACTATGAATGGGGAGTGGCTGGCTACATCACCTCACAAGGTCGAGAGGGCCAGTGTAATTAGTATCACGATGATTAGTCAGTCCAAAACACAACCAATTATCAAACTATCAAACATACATTTGTGAAATTAATTCAAATGTAAAAATAATTACAAAAAGTTGTTACAAGCAAAACTACAGTGGCATGTTATGAATGAATGAACTACAAATGGCATGACAGTATAAACAATTTAACAAGCTCACACTTTATGAAAAATACAATACACAAACACACAAAGAGATGAACTTTAGACGTAATGCTCAAACCAGCACTGAGTTCAACAACCCCACATGAAACATTACACTATATCTGACATATGTAGATTTTGCTCACACCACACCAGTAAAAGCACCAGCAAAAACAGCCCACATCTAAACATGTCAGACATTACCTGTCATTTTTGCTCCATCTACACTGGTTTCACCCATCCTTGGGGGGTTTCTAGATTTTGCAAACTAAACTACAAATGAAAAGCTTTTACACAGCTTTTACTGCTCACATGAAGTACATCTCACTGGTTTAGCTGCAACATGATATATGCACTGCCTCCTAGGTATTTTTAGAGCTGCTGTACACACACCCTCTTTTGGACCTCATATGGAGACAACAGTTATAGCTAAACACACACATACAAACGCAATTGACCAGTGAGACCACCTCCCTGCATTTTATTTAAGACAAAAGACCAGACCACACTGCAACTTTTATGAGATTTTTTATTTTTAGAGCTGGGAAAATAAATCGATGCATCGCATGAGCTTGTGTTCAGTAGAGACTAGTGCTGAGAAAATAAATCGATGCATCGCGAATCGAGAAATTATTCTGCATCGATTCAGAGATTTTCCAAAGGCATCGCGATTCTCTCTTGAATCGATTCTGAGCTTAGTTTTTAACAACAGATGAGCTTAGTTTTAATAGCCGTATTCTGCTTGCTTCGAGTTCCTTACACACGCACCACTTGAACCTAAAATAATCATTCATAAAATTCGAAAAGGTTGAAGCGAATTACAAAGGTGTTCACAGTGGGCTGTGTTTACATTAATCTCGTGTCATAAAAGCATTCTAAGCTGAGGTGAAATTACATGACTCTGGCGTTTGCAAGTTAGACTCCTAAAAACACCTTTGCTCATGTGCAAACAAGTGCGTGCACAACCGTGGTGTGGATGATTTCATTTTCCACTCAAGTCGAGTCTGTGTGTGCGATACAGCATCGTCTGCGATAATATGGTAAGTGCTGTTGTAATGATGTGCGATCTGACATTATCAAGTAGGCCAGGGTGCAAACTACGGGGGAGCTAGGGGGAGATCGGCTCCCCTTAAAGGGGTCATATGATGCTGCTAAAAAGAACATTATTTTGTGTATTTGGTGTAATGAAATGTGTTTATGCGGTTTAAAGTTAAAAAAACATTATTTTCCACATACTGTACATTATTGTTTCTCCTCTATGCCCTGCCTTTTTGAAACGCGTCGATTTTTACAAAGCTCATCGAAAACAAAGCTTTGTCTGAAAAAGCGAGGTGTGCTGTGATTGGCCAGCTATCCAATGCGTTGTGATTGGCCAAATACCTCAAGCGTTCCGACGGTCACTGCTCGCATCTCTGCCTCCTGGATAGAAATGTCTTGCTGGATATTGAATGACCATCAACTCAACCTTGCCAAGACAGAACTGCTCATGTTTTCTGTCAGCCCAACCTTGGTGTTACAGTTGTCATGCATAAACTTCACTGACCACATTGCACTGGCCCGATCCTGCAGATTTGCCCTGTACAACATTAGGAAGATCAGACCCTTCCTTACGGGGCATGCTACAGAACTCCTTGTCCAAGATCTTGTTCTCTCCAGACTAGACTATTGTACTGCTCTCTTGGCAGACCTTCCAGCATGTACTACCAAGCCTCTGCAACTAATCCAGTATGTGACACTGCGAGTGGTCTTTAACGAGCTGAAGAGAATGCACGTCACACACCTTATCACTTTGAAGAGGTACAAATTCACTTTCACAGACCTTTACTTTGACTGTTTGTTGCTGTTGTAATAAACTGCCTAACTCTGCCCATTTTCAGGAAATGGCTAAAAATGCATTTTTTTCATGAATACTTGACCCATTGAAGGGATAGTTCACCCAAAAATGAAAATGACCCCATGATTTACTCACCCTCAAGCCATCATTTGTGTATATGACTTTCTTCTTTCAGACAAACACAGTCTGAGTTATATCAATAAACATCCTGGCTCTTCCAGGTTTTATAATGGCAGTGAATGGCTGCCATGAGTTTGAAGCTCAAAAAAAGTGCATCCATCCTTCATAATCGTACTCCACATGGCTCCAGGGGTTAATAAAGGCCTTCTGAAGCGAAGCATATTTTACA